TTTTTTTTTAATTTTTTTTTTTTTTTTTTTTTTTTTTTTGGAAGAACAGTGCATTTAAGAAGAAAAATTCCAAGGAAGCTCATCTACCACAGAAATTATTTCAGTTTTTGAAAGCACCTTTTTAAAGTTGAAACTTTATCTTTACTTCGTATTGTTTATGCTTGCTATTTGTTTTATAATCCAACTAAACAATTTCTAATCTGCTTCTCTCTCTTGGCCACTCAGATGAAGTAAGTCCTATAAAATAATTGCAAAAGCAAAGAACTTAAATTGAGAGAAGTCTTACTTTTTACAGGTAAAAAAAAACAAAAACCTTGATTAATTCAGTTAGAAATTTGGGTCTTAAATACTTGGTGGCTGTCCTTTTAAGAGGTACCCTCTGCATAAAATGAGTTTTGTTCAATTTTATTTTATTTCCTGTTTTTAGTGCCTTCCCACTTACCTCGCCTCACACAATATTTGATTGGATGACAACTTTTTTCCCTGGAGCCAAGAATACGCAACAGCTTTCATGATTTGATTTTTTTTTCCTGTTACACTTTGTAATCTGACTGTGTAATATTAGGCTCCTTTTCCAGGATATCGCTTTGACAGTACAGGAAATATGTTCGTGTTGTGTTGAGAAAACTATTGAAAAGCAGTTTCACTTATAATATTTTTCCCAAGCTTACTTATTTTACTGAAAGAGCAAGATGTCTATTCAGTGTGCGCTCCAAAGATGAGTACCCTGTTAGTTTTGAGTGCTTTGAGTATACCCATTATACTTTTTCTTCCTTTTTAAAAAGGATGCTGCTATTTTGAAGACATTGGAAAAAAATTGCTGGCACTGGTGGCACAGCTGATAATTAGCATACAATAGGCCATGACCAGAAAGGGGAGAGGCTTCAATCTCTCTTTTCATTCTCTTGATGGACTGTAGAGTCTGTTCAGTTGTCACGGCATGCGAAGGGGAAGGCCTCCATTCCCAACGGATTTTTCTTTCAGGACTGTTCTCCTGGTGATTCACCTCCTGCCACTCCTCCAGCTTCCCCGGTGTCTTCAGGCTGGCAGCCATTTCCCGAGGAGGACTTGGATTCTCCCCAGTTCAGAAGGCGTGCACACACGTTCAGCCACCCACCATCCAGTGCCAAGAGGCGGATTGCTTTCCAGGATGGAAGATCCCAGAGCGTTAAGTCCCCTCTTCTGAGACAGAATTCTACCGAGCCCAGTGGGTAAGTTTTGAGTGCTCGTGTGTGCATGTATTTTTAGTGTCCTCTTGATAAAGTGGAATAGAATGAAATGAAAAATACAAGCCTATACCTAAGCCACAGCAGGTAGTATTCTTATAGGCTAACTCTACGGTATTTTACATGCATTTTTTTCTTCTTTAACTTGATGATGGTGAGCTTCCCAGAGCTAAAGAATTTGTAGCTGTGCAACAGTGAATATACAAACAACTAACTAACCGGAGAGGCCTGTGCAGAGGTGGAGTGAACATGGGAATCGCACCACTTCTAATCACTTGGCTAGTTCCTTGTACAAATGAATTAATCTCTTAGCTGTGTTCTGAACTGCAGCCTTGTAGAAGCAAAAACATTCCCATCAGTTGAGCTGCTTGGGTTGTAGCACTACAGGGAGCCTTTAGTGTTGAAAGTCTCAGGAAGCTTCCAGTATCACTTGCTCACTTTGTCAGCTATAGCTAACAAAGTAGTTGTAGGAATTCAATATTTCCATGCTGTGGGATTCCTCAGAAATATTTTCCTGAAGGATAGCGATATGCAAATTTTGTAATATTTCTACTTTTCCCCAAAAGTCTCTCTCTCCCTTTGCTATTAGGGTTTCAATTCTTACTCCCTTGGGAGCTATGGCTGATACCTTCATTTGATCAGAAGGGGGTCACTTCAGTTCTTTCCCAGGTTTCTCTGTATTGTGCTACTCACCCCTGCCTTATTTCTACCTCCAGGCTTTGAGCATACAAAATCCACAGCACTTCTTGTTTACTGTAGAGCCAGCTCGGGCAGTCTGATTCTTTTATATGGTAACACTTTTTTTTCCCCCCAAACTGTGTAACACCCCTTTAAGTTGGAAGCCACATGTGTAGAAATCATATTGGATACATTTTTGGCACTCTGCTTCTATTCAGTGTATGTAATAAATATTAACCCCACAACAAACTCTCTCACAAAGGTTAACAAGTCTATTCTGTTTGACATCAAGGACAAAAGAAAAACTGCCTTGAAATGCATATGCCGTAATATTATTCCTTCTGCTTTAGAGAGAAACTTCAGTGTGTGGTTTTTTTCAGTGACCACAATGTGGTATGCACACAAGAAACCTTTAGTTGTTGGTACTTGCTGACTTCATTTCTTTGTAATAATCTGCAAGAAGTCTGACTTTAAAGTTCCATTATCAGCACATTCCCAGTCGAAACAGCTTCATGACAATTTTATCTTAGACTGATTTCTCCCCTCTTCCCCTTCCCCCCGCCCCCCAGCTTTAACTAGAAATATTAGACCAGAGCAACTTGAGACTATTCTAATATGTTTTCTTTTCTTTTTCTTTGAGTACAGAGGTGTTTAACTTTTTTTTGGTTTGGTATGTATTCCTTAATGTGCAAGATTGTTTTAATTTACTCAGACATTTTAGAGATTAGTGTTGTGTGCATCTCTCTCTCGCGCCTTCTTTTTTAATTGGTGACTTCTCCAGTAATTTATTTTCAGGAAGAGTTGGAATTTTAATTTGGAAATCTCTGAAGTGCTTCTTCAACTTCCTCCTCATCGCATGGTTGCTTTTCCTTGTTTCATCCTCACTCTAGTCTGTTGTATAGCAAGCCGGTACTGATAACCAATGTGAACCACTGAAGCCCACTGAAAATGGCAGCTAAGATAAAGCTAAATAGTTATTCTTGGGTGCCTGCAGCTAAACTTCATTCCTGTATTTTCTTTAAAGCTGTTGTAATTTGCTAATCTAATTTTATTAGCACCTCCCCCCTTCTTTACACGTGATAAACTCTGACCATTTGGGGGTACAGTAAGTAGAAGTCAAGCCTGCATCTTGTCCAGTATCTATAACTTGGGTATTTTTAATTGTTAAATCCAACCTATTTTTATACTGTAACTATATTTTTCTCTTATTGCCTGTACAGTCTTACTGCTGTAACTCGGCGCTCTCGCTGTGAGAGTGAATCTGCATCTTCCAGTCTCCCTTCTTCTTTCTCTGCCCCTTCTTTCCTGAAAAGCTTTTACCAGGGTTCAGGAAAGCTGCTCCAGCAGTCAGAAAATGACCTCTCCAAGAGGTGAGAGCAGTGTCGTCTGCCTGCAATAGTGTTTTTCAACTTTGGGAACATAAAGGTCTCAGTGAAATGTGACCCACACATCATAATGTGTGTGTTTGCACTGCTCTTTGCAGTGATGCTTTTCTAACAAGCTTTCTCAACACTTGTTTCGAATTGGTGAACAAAGCATCCTGTTGACATGCTCATCAAAAGTCTAAAGACATGTCTGTTAGTTTGTGTAGTAAACTTGATGGTGTGTGGCTGTAAAAAAGCTGCCCAGCTATTGCACTGATCTATAACTCTGGTACATGATGCTGCACTGTGGAAGGAGGGGTGGGGCAGGGGGGAGTGGTGAATGAGCTTTTCACCAACTAACATTTCTGTGCTGAATGCAGGCGGCATGTGTTGGCATGATTTCTTTTTTTTAAGCTTGAAACTGAGGAGAGAACCATGAGAGAAGACTAAAAGTAACTCCTCTGTGACGACAGGTTTCTAGGAGCTCTACTGGCAACCCCTTTTAAAAGTAGACTACCTTGGTAGCATGTTGGTTTGGCAGTTGTGCCTTTTATTAGATGATGGGTCTTGGCCTGCCATCTTATTTTCTATCTACCTTTTTTTTAATTTTGAGAAACCTCCCCAAAACCCATGTTTCCTCCAAAGCTGAAAAAGTTTAAAAACTTTTTGACAGAAATGCAAGGTCATTTTAAAGTCTGAATTCTGATTTATACTTCTTTTAGGCTCAAGATGTTAGCTAGCTTTGTTAGCCTAAAGTAAGGCAGGGCAGGGTGGCACTTTTGGGCATTTTTACACATGCTGCTGATGCAGCACAAAGCGCTTTTTAATTAGCAAGTCATGCTGCTTAAGTGCCTGGTGCTGCATCAGATGCAGGTGTATAAGTGGCACAGCACGTGTCAGTGCTGTGAATGATGATGCACTTTGAACTAAAGCGCATCAACAGTGTTTTTATTTCAAAGCACACCATCTGCCATTTTCTCAGTGCTGACGCACCCTCTGCCACTTATACACCTGCATCTGATGCAGTGCCGGGCACGTCCATTACATGCTCCAGCAGAGTTATGTTACTCTACCCTGCCTTATGCTGGAGGTTGGGGAAAAGGCTGTGTGACTTCTTCTGACAGTAATGTATTATTCTGTGTAGAAGTTTGGGTTTTGTTCATTTTTGTTCCTTGTTGAGATGCAGCAAGATTCTAATAATTCCATTTTCTTCACTGGAGTTATTCCAGATTTAAATTAGCTCGTCAGATGAAAATTTGGCCCTTCCCCAGTGTTCTGAGAACGCACTGAATTCAAGAATAAAATGTATATGGATATTGTGCATTGCAGTGCAGGGTCTTCAGCTATTCTTAAAAGTAATAAGATTTTAACTTTTTCGGTATTAAAGTAACATCTTAAATTTTGTATTGATGTTGCTTCAGAACAAATATTTTGATTTCTATAGAAACATTTCACTTTCTCTTCATTGTAATCCTGGTCTTTTAATACTGATGACTGATGTATTTGTGAAAGGTTTTATGGGGTTTACTCTTTTTAAAGTGATGAAAATACCTATTAATAATCAATCAGACATTCGGATCATGTACTCTGGAGAGACTTAAGGAACACTGTAAATGATGGTCTCTTTATCGGCTATGTGGTTCCCCCCCCCACACACTCCCTACCCCTGACTTCATGTTGCAAAGGTTATTGAAAGTACCACATTTTACTTGAATAGGAGTACCTGGATTATAAAATGATCCCCCAATAATTAGATTCTGGATCTGGAAAAATATACATTATTATACTTTTCCAGGTACAGAATCAAATTAGTGGAGGTTTGCCACTGATAACTGGACCCAGGTGTCTGTCATGAGTCCTGGGATACTCAAAAATGTATACATAGATGAAGCCAGAGCAACCTGGTCTGCCTCTGCCTCTACCTCATGGAGGGTGTAGCTACACTAATATGCAACAGGATCAGAGAGGGGGAAACAGAGGGATTCGTGGTGAACTGTTTGGGGCCCCATATGGTGGCGTTTGCCAGACATTTATGACCGGTGAAGAAAGAGGACTCATTGGAAATAAGAAAGAGAGGCACAGCTCAGCTGTGGGAGTGAAGTGGAAGTTGAAATTGTGTGCGTTGTAGTGGCTCCCCATGATTTGAAAGTTGAATGCAATGGGCATCGCCATATATCTTATTCAGGTGGGCTGCACTAATTTATTCTTGGGGTAGGTTCTCATCGGTATGTTTGCCCAATATCGGGCATGTGTTTTACAGTTATACTCGATATTGGCTGCATGTCATCAATGTCATAGTTGGTTTCCATTACAGAGCACATTGCTTTTGGCAGCAGCTTAATGATGGACAATACATTTACACAAAATGAAAGCTTATTAAATAAGAAGCTTTTTTCCTCATGCTGGGGAGAGGCATCTTAGATTTAAGTAAATATGGCACCTTACCATGCTGCTGGAAAAATATAAGCTCATTCTTTTTTCTTGTGGTTTGATTTTCTTTTTCCTTTCGGATCATACTTAGTCTTGAATGGCTTAACATAGGAATCCGAATTTAAACTGGAATGGCTGGGAATGTACTATAGAATATCAGAAAAAGTTAGGGTCGGAAAGGACCTCTGGAGGTCATCTAGTCCAACCCCCTGCTCAAAGCAGGCCTTATCCTCAGCTAGATCAACCCAGCTTGGACTTTGCCAAGTTGGGTTTTGAAAATTTCCAAGGATGGAGGTCCCACCACCTCTCTGGGTAACCTGTTCCAGTGTTTTGTTACCCTCCTAGCGAGAGAAATCCTTCCTAATATCTAACTGAAGTTTCTCTTGATGTAACTTGATACCGTTGCTCCTTGTTCTGTCATCTGCCACCACTGAGAACAGTCTAGCTCCATCCTCTTTCTTTTGAAACCCTGCTTTTGAAAGGCCTTTCTGGTCTGTAGTATTTAGATGGATT